GCCCGGGCTCGGGGCGCCCGTGGAGGCGTAGGCCGCCATCCCCCCCGGAGGTCTCTACCGGCCCTTAGCTCCTCAGAAGGCCTGGAATGCAACTAGGCTCTCGATAAGCCAGCTCTTCCCTGGAAAAGTGACGTTTTGAGGAAAAAGTCATTTTCGTTTTCAGGGAAAAGCGTTTCTGTGGTCAGTCTTAAGTCACGTTGCGACGCCGTTTCCTGCCGTTACACGTATCCAGGGGTGATTTCTGCGCCTCTTCTTGCCCGTCTCAACCATTTATTTGTGGGCTGTATGTTTAACGTGCTCCTCAGGTTTGATTTTTGGTAGCTGTGCAGCACCTGTACTTTCAGCGTGTTTTGGATAGTCGAGGGAAGAGGGTCCATTTAATTGTGTCAATATTTAGCCAGAAAAATGCTGTCCAGTCATAGTTTTGGATGTTGTGGAGTATGGTTTATAAAAGTGAAATCCATAAGAGGTCCTTTGGTTATTTGAGTGAAATGTGGGCAGGCGAAAAGAGAAAATGTCAAAATGCATGTTAGTTTATCCTAGAGTTTTTTCTCTGGACAAAAAAAACCCCAAAAGACCATTTAAATGCAATAAAGTAATTCTGCATCACATAATAGAAGCATCTGTGTTTGTGGCCAGGTGAAACAAAAAAAAAAAAATCAAAGTTCATGTTAGCTTATTCTAGAGGGTTTTTTTCCCCTGGGAAAAAGCCTGAAAAGACCGCTTAAGTGCAATAAAATAATTCTGCGGCACATAATAGAAGCAACTGTGTTTGGGACTAAATGTAAAGATACATGTCTGAAAGTCCTTCCTTTCTCATATGCTCTTATATGTGCAAAAACTGCTTTGCTCCTCTCAAAATGTGTGCCAAGCTCGAAAGAGGTGCCTTTGCCTGATGGGAGCTGCACAGGCTTCCTTTGTGGAGGATCACCAGAACCGACCGTCAGTGTGAAACTCCTCTTTGTAGGCGAGTTCTGCGTAGCCGTGCCTGCGTCGCAGCCAACAGGAGCGGCTCCGTACAGCTGGGTGGTGGGGCCCAGACACCCACGCTGTACGCATCTCGGGGGCTTCTTACCCTGGACTAGCTGTAGTCTGGGAGCCTACTGCCCGGTTTACAGCCATCCTGTGTTAAGGTGCGCTGCGCAAGTTTGTTCTGCAGTTTCATCAAAGAGGAATCCATATGGTATTAATCTCTGGTATCACTCTCTGATGAAACAGAGTGCAGTAATTGGGGGTAATTAGGAGATTTCCTTCCAAGGCACGCTCATCAGAGCTAAAACACTGATGCAGGTGTTTCTGTGTGTCTCAGCACTTGTGTTCTTTGTCATGCTGATTTGGGAGGAGGAGGAGGAAGTGTTTAAGGAGAGGTGGGGTAGGACCCTTGTGTTCAGAAGGAACATGACAGATGCAGTTTGGGGTGGTGGGGTATTGTGCCTGTGCTCCAGAAAGAGGTGATACTGTTGGTCTGACCACAGAGACCTGTTCTCATAATTTAAATTCTCATCTTCAAGGACAACTGGCTTAAGCCATATGGATACAATCAACTTCTCGGCTACATCTGTCTGTTTGGCTTTCTGTGACATCAGTTTGTAAATCTTTTTGTATAACCAGTTAGTTGTATAATCCCTTGACACGCTCTGGGACTTCCACGTGTCTGTCACTTCAGGATGTGTCAACTTCCTCCAGTGGGATTTCTGCTATTTTTAGGGCAGCTGTGATCACAACTGTGTTTAGAAGATGGAGCACAGTGCAGTGGACGGACTGTAAATAGCACTTGCCCTTTTTAGTGGAGTATTTCTTTCATCTGGGAGAAAGAAGTAAATTGAGCGGCATTTTCAATTCTGCGTAATAGTCCTTCTTAAGAATTCCCTTTGGAGTCAGTATGTGGTTCTTGTTTCTTGCCTACAACGTTTAAGGCAGGCTTGTCTGAACAGCACGTGATACCTGGGGCATTTCACTGCACGGGGGAGTGTTCTGTGACTTGGTTTCACAGGCTGGAGAAAGGAGTCCATGCAGGCAGCTCTCTGCTTCACGTAGGCAGGTCCCTGTAGCTGAGGCACCAGCTCATTCATGCCCCTCTCCTTCCTACACATCGAAACACACCCATTCGTGTAGTGTAAAGCACTTGCAGAGGGAAGTGACTCACTAACCTTTGCTTCTTGGATGCAAAAGAGTTAACTCATTTGTATAGCTTTTCTAAGACACAAGGAATCTAACCTGTGAGGTGCCTAGCAAGGCTGCTTTCTCAGCTGCCTTTCAGGTTCTTCTGTTCATCTGTAGCATGGCTAATTTCCATCCCTGCAGCTCTGTAAATGAAATGTGAGGTGTTAAAGGACAAAGCTTGTAGTTGGTGCTTGCCACAGACACACCTTTTATTTACAAAGAAAGTTTTACAGTTGGTAAAAGCTTCATGGATTGATTTTTGAAGGCTTGTTGAAGGGGGTACTTCTCTGTCCCCACCTCCAGTTTAGTCTGACTTTGAAAAAGTGCTGTGTTAATCAGCCAACAACACAAATGTGACAAGCATCTTAAAAATCATTCAAGATGGGGTCTCATGCCCCAAACAGATCTTTCTGCAACCAGGGTTAAAATGCAGGGGTTTCTTCTGTGTTGGCGTTCCTGGTACCCAGAACTGCAGTGGCTGGGCAGCTTTTTGAAAAGAGCCTGGTGGCAGCCCCTCGCCTGGTTCTTTAACTGTTAGTGCGAGGAATGTCCTACTCCAGAGCAAGTGTATGTAGCAAGAGCACTTTCCGACTTGTATTTGGCATGTAATGTGTTGAAAAGGAGCAGTCTGACATACAGATTTTGTTTGAAGTACCCACTTCATAAAAAATTTCGTATGCAAATGTCTTCAGGTGGGGAAAGGAAATTTGTCATTAGTTGTGGGACATGTAGCAACCTTGTATTAAAGACAAAATGAGGGAACGTCTGGGCTGCTAAGCAGGGAGTGATAGGAGATGCTTGGAGGTCTTTGGGCAGATATAAATCTCTTAAACTCTGCTTTGGTCATGGAGCTGAGCCAGTCTAAGCCCTGGCTGCCACCCAAAGGGGGACACCTCTTCCCTTCCCCACAGTCTCCCTCCCACATCTCACCAGACTTCACGTGTTTGTCTTCTCTTTTGTACTGGCACTTGCACTCATCTGATCTGTCAGCAAACCTATTCAGGGACACAGACAGAAAAGTCTTTTTGTTTTGTAGGGTTAGCTTTCAGCTGGTTTAACTCCCTGAACCTTCGTTCTGCACAGCTCCAGTACTGGAATAAGGGGAGCAAACCTGTCCCTCCCAGTTGCCACTGTAAGCTGAGCTTAGCTGGATTGCTGAACAACACTTACATTGCATGACCTATTTGATAGACCCAGAAACAAAAGCTGTGCACTTCTGTGACATTGTACCCGAGCAATATAGCCTTGCTGAAAAGTAAGAAAGCTTAATGGTGCAGGCCTGGTAACATGAACTCAGCTATATCGATTCTGGGGCGAAAATTAGCATCTCTGTGCAGTGTTGAATTGTGCTGTATAAACACAGAAGTTTGAGTCTGTGCCAGTGCAGTGATTTCTGTGCCATGCTGCATTTCACTCGGTAGATGCGCACTTAGTATATGCAAAACCCTCTATTAAAGGGGATGTTGAAAGCCCTGCTCAGAGGAAGAGCCCAGGTGTTCCCAAAAAAGGAGACACCCTTCCTTGTTAAGTGCATACTAAAATGTTTCCTGAATGGAGCTGGTTTGGGAGCAAATTGAACTTTCTTCTGCACTCTGTTCCTGGTGTAAGGTGTGAGAGGAAGGTGGACTGACGCTTTGGCCTCATGCTGGCGGGAATGGGTCCTGTCTAGGTCGGTTCGTAAAAGCAAGTGGTGTGGGAAGGGGAGTGAAAACTCTTGGTTTCACTCTTGGAGTGACAGCATTGTTACCACAGGTGAAGGGCTTTCTGGAAAAGAACAGAACGAAGTGAAAAATATTTACTTTATTTTTCAAAGTGTCTAGCATGCTGGGTTTGATCATCTTCTGGCCAAACTGTTTTCAGCCAGACTTCTATTATCTAGTTTTTGGGAAACCTGTGAGATTGTTACAGTATAGAACAGGCTGCTAAGCACCTAGGCGGTGTTTATACAGCTCAATCCAATTATCTGACTCTTTCATCTGCAAGTTGTGGTGTAAGCCTCCTGGATGAGCTCCACCTGCTGTACCAACACGAACCAGCGATGGGTGTGCTTTTTAGTTGAAAAGCGTATTTAAGATGAAAAAGTCATTGGAAATAAGGTAGGCTTCAGCACTTGAGGCTTGGGCTTGTTTTGAGTTTTTTTGCCTTTGGGACTCTTTCATTGCCAGCAGAGATAAAAACAGTTGAAGTGCTTAGAACAGTTGGGGAATATTAGGGACAATTTTCAGTTGGCATGTTTAGTCGGCATGTTCAGTCCCTTTTCCAAACACAGCTAATGGTGCTGTGAAGGTCCTGGCGGAAGGCCTCAGAATATTTGGGCTGCACACAACTTGGTCACGTCTCTGACAGTTCTCTTTGGTTTCTTAACTTGTTTGTGCTGTGGACGTGAAAGCTGGGTACAGTCTAGCATTGCTACTTTGTAAGAAGAACTGATTGGCAAAAGGTTCAAACTTTCCTCTTTCTCACTCAGTAGGAGGAAAACTGAATGCACCAAATACTATGTCTTTTTGCACCCAGGAGAACAAACGGGTCAGAGCATCTGAGAACTGGATCCTCCATTAGCCAGCAGTTTGAAATGTGTATGTCTTTCCTTGCTTGTTGAATTGCTCCGCAGAAATTCACAGCCATTCCACTGGTGTGACTTGCCCTTTTGCGGTCACCGTACCATCTTAGGTAGCAGGCTAGGCTCTGCCTGCCTATCTTATTAAGTGCCATGTGTTTGCGGATCTTACTGAATTTTGCTCAGAACATTTGGGGTTTTTTAAATAACTGTAAAAACTTGCCTCCTTTTCAAGACTACCTTGCAAAAATGTTTCTGAAGTTTGTTGTCCAGTACTAGGAGGTCACCAAAATGCAACCCACATCTTGTTTTTCTGTGAAAATATGACTCTTTTCAAGGTATGTCGAAGAAGTGGCGTCAGCCTCTGTAGTGACATGTGAGTCTAAAATAAAAGAATTTTTCAAAACATCTGTGTCTCTGTGTTTCTTTGCTAGTTGTCCATATTTTCTGAAAAGAGCTAAAATTTTATCTAGAATCCTACGTACCTTTTTTAAGAGAGCCTGCTTTTAGTAATGACTCTAAACTAGAATTCTTCTTTTTGACCCTGTTGTTACTTAACTATCCTTCTTTGTCACTAGTTTGTATTTCAGGGGGTCCCCATGTGTTTTCAGCACTGCAGCTCAGCAGAGAAGTACAGGAGACGAGTGTGGCCCAGAAGATCCCCGTGATGAGCCCAAGCATCCCCTTTCTGACTGTGCCTTACAGCACAAAGCCATCAAATTGGAAGAACAAGTCCGGGATTTAACTGTGAGTATGCTGCTGGTGGCATCACGATGTCTTTTGCTCAGTCCCCTTGACTTGGTCTGTCTCTCGGCCCTAGCTGTTTCTGTAAGCCCTATAACACGCACACAATGCCGCTGTGCTATGGCAGCCTTCAAAGCAGCTGTGCTCTAAGTGTGAGAGGGTGCACTGTGAAAGTACAGGCTGCCTTCCCCAGAAATGCTATCTGTCAGTAGTACCTAGGAGCAAGACACTGATAGCATGATCCTGGCAGGCAAACCTGTGTGTTGGAGATGGTCTGGTCAATTCTTTCACAGCATTATACAGAGGGAATGGCAGTAGCTTCATTCCGATTAGCATCGCATATTGTGTCACACCGGATCCAGATTGTCCGAGAAGGAAAGTCCTCTTTAGCGACAGTGATGCCATGGAAATGGTAGGGATGCTGTTAATAGGGACTTTGAAGAACAGATGTGACTAAGGAGAGGATTAAATACCACAGCACTGGGCAGGCAATTCTGGAGATTGTCGACCTGAGAGTACTACTGCACCAAGCAATAAATCAGCTAGTTGCAGATCTGTTGCTGAGACTGCCAACTTGCCTGCTAGAGAAAAGAGTGTCTCAATAGCCACAGTGAGTCATGCAAAAAGCATCAGCCTGACAATGCGGTGTTCAATTGAGCTTGCGCCCTGAAGGCTTCTGGCCTTCACTTGGGTCTTTTGAGGGAGTCGAAGTTGTGCTGATTAATCAGTAGGAGAGGGACTCAGGTTTGCATGGAATGAAAACGCAGGAGCCCAGCACAACCTTCTGACATGAAGTGGATTCTCTTTAAAGTATTTCTAAGGGATTGATTGCCAACTTGTCAGAAAATAGGTTTACTTCCTTGTTTGATATCTCCCCTTGCTATTGTGGTTACAGGAGCGATACCGGAAAGCCTTGGCAGATTCTGAGAATGTCCGGAGAAGAACGCAAAAGTTTGTGGAAGATGCCAAGCTCTTTGGTAAGAAAAGTGAGGCAGAGCTGTGGTTACGGCGGTGGCCTGCCTGCTTGCCTGAGCATAAAATGCTGACCAACAGCTTTTCTCTCCCCTCATCCTGCCCTTGTTCATTGTAAACTCTGGCATGATGTTTGGCCTGGACTATTGATATCTGGGCTTACTTGCTCTTTTTTCTGTACGTCCAGCTGTGTCCTATCAGGTTTATCTCAGTGACTGTTTTGTGATCTTTTTCTAATAAAATAGGCCTGGTGCAATTGAGTGTAGTTCTGCTGACTTGGTTGAAATTACAAGTTCTTCTGTATGCTGTGAATTGGCTCTGGCAGGGTGTATTTCATCTCAGCTGTGTCATCAGGTTGTGATTTCCTTTACTGTATTAACAGCCTCTTCTCTTCTGCTCTAGCTTTTAGGAGGTAGATCCTGCCTGGGACAAAGGTTGTCAGTTCCTATATCAGATGTTCTTTAAAATTTCTATAATAACTATTTTAGCATCAATGAAGTGAGCTGGATTTGTAGCTTTGGCAATGGAGGCAGGTGAAGGGCGAAGAAACTGCTGTTTAGCCATTGCACTCTGCCAGCATCATCTCTGAGAATGAGAAACTGTTATTCTCCACAATGCATGAATCTCAAAAGGTTTTAAATTAGTTAGTTCCAGTAGCTTTGAAATTAGAGCTGCTGTATTTTTCTTACCGTTCTACCCATTGTGCTGTAAAATGGCTGTCAAGTTCTGGGATAATCAGCACTGTTGGTTTTAAGAGGGTTTTTTTGAGCTCTTTGAATTTTATATGTAGTATGCTTCAGACCTGAAGAAAAATTAGGTTCTTTATTAGAAGTTGCTGATGGAGTGAGGCATGGGGGTCTGTAGAGCACTAAAACAGACTCTGGTGCAAGAGGAAACAAGTGATAGGATAAGAGGAAATGGCCTCAAGTTGTGTCAGGAGAGGTTTAGATTGGATATTAGGAAAAATTTCTTCACTAAAAGGGTTATCAAGCATTGGAACAGGCTGCCCAGGGAAGTGGTTGCCTCACCATCCCTGGAGGTATTTAAAAGATGTGTAGATGAGGTGCTTAGGGACATGGTGTAGTGGTGGGCTTGCCAGTATTAGGTTTACAGTTGGACTCGATCTTAAAGGTCTTTGCCAACCTAAATGATTCTATGATTCTATGAAATGGTTGGTAATTGGTCTGCTTCTGTCTGTTCCTTTATTGCTGCTTCTTCATGCTTTTTCATTCTGTGCATGTTTAAACATGTATGTACAGGTATAGACAGCACCAAACTATTGTTTCTCTTTCTCTGTTTTCCTAATGTGTCTTTCCAGTAAGTTAGTTATGGCATCTATATAATTGAGGGAGGCTGGTTTTCCTGAAATTTCTGCACTGTGTAGTACACCGCTTCTGGAAAGGTATCTGATCTAAACCCATTTTTCGAATGAAAAAGACTGCATGACTTTTCATGACCAACCCAAGGACCATTTTGCTCATTCCTTCTACAGTGGTTTTAACTTATGAACAAAATTGTGGATGCACTTTTGAGTGGTCATGTAGTATTTTTACTTCCCCCCATTGTGTTTGTTTTCCGTGTGCACAGGCAGTTGTGTGAGTTGCGTGGCAAAACATTTATATCTGTGGGACTGTGGAACAGTGTCCTAAATGACACGTCTTAGTTGCAAGAACTTTTTGGAGTGAAATGCTAATGCTCTGCTTTGTTAACATATATGTATGTGTGTTGATGTGTATAGATGTACCTTTCCTGCATATACCTTGATTTGGGGATTCTTCAGATTACTACCCATGTAATGATAAAACTTTGGCTACAGGATATAGAAGACACTGTCTGCTCTCACTAAAGTAATGGTTCAAATCAATTAGCAGCTTTAAAGGTGCTTTCAAACTTCTGTGACTTTGTGCCTGTCATTGGTGCTGTAGCTCTTTATGTTCTCTAAACTGCCTTTCATTTACTTCTTGCTTCTTTGTGCCCATAGGGATCCAGAGTTTCTGCAGGGACCTTGTGGAGGTAGCAGATATCTTGGAGAAGACTGCCGAGAGTGCTGCAGAAGAAGCAGAGCCTACTAATCCAAATCCAACCCTGAAGAAAATCTATGAAGGCCTCTCTCTCATAGAGGCCAAATTGCAAAGTGTATTTGCCAAACATGGCCTTCAGAAGATGAACCCTGTTGGTGGCAAATATGATCCATATGACCATGAAATAGTCTGCCATGTACCAGCCGAGGGAATGCAGCCAGGCACAATAGCACTGGTGACTCAGGATGGCTATAAACTCCATGGTCGCACTATCAGACACGCACTCGTCGGCGTGGCAGTAGAGTCACAGGAATGACGTGAGCTTACCCGTTGGCATCTGGGACCTTACTGAGCTGAGGGTCCCTCAGCACTCAGTCGCAACTGCAGCTGCATGTCTTTACTTATTTATTAAGCTAGGTTTGTATTGTATGTTGGCTTCTTTATAACGTGCGCAGTCATTTTGCCATTAATTCTAAGGTACTTGTATATTTAAGAATCCTTTTTGGAGTATGTGGAGTAGTACTAGGAATCCTGCTATTTGTCAGAAACGTGGCACTGTAGCCCCTTTCTCCATTGCTCATTTCTCCATTGAGGCTTGTATGGGGAAGAGGGGAGATATGGGAGAGAAAGGGAAATTCTCTGAGAGCTAAGGAATCTTGTCTCCCGGTTCCATCTCTGAGACAGACTCCTGCAGTGGCCTTCAGGAAAGTAACTTCTCTGCCTCAGTTTCCATATCTGTATTAAGGGAATATAATAATACTTACTGACCTACCTCACAGGGAAGTGGTGAGGCCTTTTCTTTGCAAAGCACTCAGAAGAGGAAAAGCCCAAAGGGCTGAGTATTATTATCAGGCTGGTTTTGGTGTCTTCCCTTGTCTCCAGACCCCTCAGGTGGGGATGAAGATGATCACTTGAAATGACATTTAGGGGCAGCTTTTTCTCATGTCACTTCAGGAAAACAATCCCAAATGGATGAACTCTCGGTTGTACTACAGTTGAATAGGGATGAGGTTTTAAAGAGAACTCAGTTGTTAGGTCAGACTTTAACGTGTTAATATTTGTTCTCCAGGTAAAACTTCAGCTTGCCTCCTTGTTCCTAAAGGTAAAACAGGGAGTTGTGGTTCCTGGTGGAGCCAGAAAACTGTTCTCAAATCTCTCTTTCTCCAACCAAAAAGTATATTTTAGAGGAGAGTAATCTCTCTTCCCTGATGGGTATTTGTGCAGCTTTCAAGCATGATAAACTGTATGCTCTTTGTTGCAGCTGCTGGCAAAATGGAGATGTGCCCTTGAGCAGGAAATCTGGACTGTTTTATTTTCTCAGTTCTCCAGTAATGGTAGCTGGATAACACTAACTTCCAGTTCACATTCAGATTCTACTTTTGTGTGGCAATAGTAAATATTAAACCTCTTGGGTTTTGACGCAAGGAGAAAAATCTTTTCTACTAAAAGTCTCAAGTGCCCTTGAACCAATTCTAGCAGCAGTGACAAGAAAGCAAGAGAAGCAGAAGGCTGAGGAAGTGAAAGCTGACCTCAAGCCGTCCTCTTAGTTGGAGGTATGTTGTCACAGCACGGCATATGTATTTCCCAGTGGTCCTTTTGCCTGGGAGTCCATTTATCTCAGCTGAAAGGATGCAGTCACCAAGTAAGATCAGAATTTAACCCTCTACAGAGCAGCAAGCAGTATAATGGTAGAAGAGTTACATAAACCAGCCTATGGTCTGCACTATGTGAAACCAAGGCAGGAATGGTTGTTTTCAGATTGTTTCTTACTGATTCATTAATTCCTGCCTTTCTACTTTCTGGAATTGGATCTGTGGCCTGACAGTTATTTGAGATGCACTTCCAAAAACTCTTTACTTATGGTGGATGCTATCACTGGTTTGGAAGAAAGCTTATTCTTCCATTCATTTGCAGGCTTCAGTTGCATAATCCTTTTGTGGTGGACTTCAAGATTACTGCAGCCTTCAAGTAGCAGCTATCGACAGTCTTTCATCTGGGGAGACTATGTGCAGCTAGTTGGTTGTCATTCCAGAAATTTAAGGAAGATGCACATTTCTAATATGCTCCATGCAAGCTGCTTTAGTGACAGCCGTGTGTGCGTGACTCGGTAGTGGATGCTTTCTGAAGTGCGGTTTTCTGCCTCTGCGTAGTTAGGTTTTCAGGCAGGTACTTCATATTTCAGCCCTGAAACAGTGCTTCATGGCAGCATTAGATCACTTTGGACAAAACTCTTGTTCAGTGCTCTTGTTTTATCATGCTGTTGGAAATTTCAGAGATACACAGGACTTCCTGTTCGTTGTTTTGCTGGTCTACATGCTGACTGGGTCACCAAATTACGCTGTTACTCAAGACAAAGAACAGATAAAATATGAAATGTGGCGATGCAAGTCTTGCTGTTCTGCCTCAAGACTGCCTGCAGCCTGTTCTGAGGAAACTGTGTCTTCAGCTGGCAGGAGCAGTTGGGTTCTCTGCTGCTTCTTCAGCACCTGCTATGTCAGCTGAGTCTTTTTGCAATAGGAGGGGAGAGCTGGTTATGGAAACTAACTTTGAATGTGAAACTTCATTTATAAGGAACTAAACAAAAGCAAAGCCATTTTACACAACAGGTAGTTTTGTGTCATAAAGGCTGCAGCTTACCTGAGCCAGATTTAAAAGTAGCGTGTGAACAGAAGTGATGGGATCCAAACCCTCTTTAAACTGACCCACGGAGCCACTTGACTCTGAAAGTATAGTACAGCTGCTTGGTCTGCCTTCGGACTATTTGCCAAGCCTGCCTGTCTCCTCAGCTAGTATGCACCCATTTTTGCCTTAAAGAAATACCTTAAAATGCACTCCAGACCTTCTGTCTGTAATAAGAGGTTATTGATTCAGCTTGTGTATCTGGGATCCGCTTTCACTGAGGCACTGGTGTGTGGCTAGAGCAGGAATCTGAGGGATCCAGTTGCTGTGCAGTCTTTCTCACCCTCCTACAGGCCCCATTTAAGCTTGGACAAGCGATTTTCCCTGTTCATGCCCCAGTTTTTTCTGTCTATGAAACTTCTACAGGATCTTATCGGGCTTTTATGATGATTACTGTAAGATGTACCCATTGCTTAGAGACTCTTTTACAGAAGTTACCAAAGAGATAAATACTGTAGCTGTTGTTTGTCCTAATTTCTGCTTCCTTTGAATAGTGAAGTGAAAGTGAAATAACCAAACCTGGATTCCATCACAGAATCTGGATTTCTTAGGCAAAATTTGATTCTCTTGCCTTTCAAGCACACTTAATGATCTCTTTTATCGTGGATGAGATTGCGTAAGGGTGGATTTAATTTCTTTGTAGATTCTTGCTCCCTTGTCTTCCCTGTTTGTGTAAAGCTTGCACACTCAGCACGGTGGGGCAGAGTCCCCGTTGGTGCGGTTCCGTTGCACTCTGCAGAGTTACACCAGAGAGGAGACGGACCCATGAGCTTTTTCTCTCCAGTCACTTTATTCAATGACTATTTAATAAAACACAGAAGTAGGTTAGCAGGGACGGAATAGCAGAGGAGAGGCAGTGTCACATACCTCTTACTCGTTTCCACTCTGTTCGCCCAGCCATGAACTGAAGAGCTCAAGCTGGGAATGCAGACAACTAGATAAGACATGCATGTGATGGTGATGTGTGGACCTGCATTTCTGCTCTTGGGAAGTGGGCAGCCCCACTGAACATGGGCGTTTGCCTTGTTCTGTGACCTTGCCGTACCCCATCAGTGGGACATGTTTGAGTTGAACTCCTGGACGAGTCTCCAGTGGCACTGTCTCGTGAGCGTGGCAGCGTCTTAACTCTGACCAGGAGCAGTGCAGAATGTGAATGTTGCTTCGTGAACCTGAAATTCTCAGTGCTTCATCAGCAGAGCTTCTGTTGAAAGAGACAGCTGTGATAAATCAATAGCTATTAGAAGTCCTTTAATTTTTAAACAAATGTATTTAAGTATTATATGTGAATATTGTAGTATTTTTTTATTTTAAAACTTGAGATGTTTTGATATTACTTGCAAAGTCAAATGAACAAAGCGTTGCTAATCTCCAAAAATCTAAGTCCATTTAGCCAGTGGGAAGCCTGTATATATTGTATCTTTTTGTGTTTCTGTGCTCTTTATTTACCCAAAGGTTCTGGCTGTATGAAAGACAGAGACTGAAGTGTGGGAGAGGTGCAAGTAATTGACAACAACATTTGAGTTAATGTTGGAAAGGGCTGATTCCCTTTAGATGTCCAGATACTGTCCATTTGCTAATAAAAAGAAGAATTGCAGTTGCTTCTTTTCCCTTTTTTCCCTTGCCCCAAACTGCTGCTTATTCCGACTGCCACTTTAATTGGGTGGGACTGCGGATTGAAAGGTTTCTCTCTATTCCTGATCCAATTGTCTAAAATAAGGGCTATAGTCCGTGGCATTAGAGAACTTTGTTGAACATGTTATTAACAGTCCTTTAGGTGGACTCCAAGAAATGCCCACATGCATACATGTCATCTTTCCTCACGCAGGTGAGTTGTTGGGGAATTCTGCACTGATAAACTGCCCAGGCGTGTCGTTCTCTGGTACTTCTGTGCCTGCTTTTGTGTCTGTTCCCAGTAAGTCCACTCATGGACCATCGTGTAGAGGAATGCTCTCTGCCAGCCTTTGGCAGTGGTTCATTCTGCTGAACTCTGCTAACAGTTGAAATCTTGACATCTGGTTTTATTTTTGCCATTCAGTTCTCTCACAGCTTCGCTTTGCTGCATTTTTCCCCTTTTGTGTGCAGTGTGTTGTAGCAGGCGTACTGTACGGCAGCTCCATTAAGGATGGCTCAATATACAGTGTGTATTAACGCTCGTGGTATCCGCAGGCAGGATATGATTTCAGGGATTTGTTGGAGAGAAGAACAGGCTTTCCCTGTAGGGGTGTGATTGTAACAGATCGCATTCGCCTTTCGCGTGTCCTCTGCAAAAATAGCCAGGCCTCCGTTCCTGGTTTTGCCTTAGTCTTGTAACACGTGGTGCCATGTCAGTGGGCCTTGCTTGCCTTGTTCTCCTGAAGCTCTGAATGCCCCTGGGCGCTTCTCACTAGAAAAAAAAAGCTTCTGCGAAAGGCCTTTATGGGGTGAGTTCTATATTTCTGTGCTAAAGATCTGCCAGCAAAGTGCCCTTATGATCGCGGAGGTCATGTCCCATTATAGGTGCTCTTCCTCATTCTGCCTAAAATGTGTGGGCATTGCTCGGTGTTCGCTAACCAGACTAGACCAGGAAACACTGCTGCCATGTTAGTAATTTCTGGCTCTGCTGGTTTTTCTCTGCAGCAACAGTGAGAGCTGGGAATTTTCAAACCGCAGCCACCTCCATCTGCAGAAAAGCATCGGAGCTTGTGAGCAAGGGGACGAGCATTTTGCTTGCAGCACGGTATTGCAGAACGCCTGCAAGCAGGGCACGGTCTGCCGTTCCTGCTGGGGCGATCGGGAGCGGTGCTCACCCAGCCTCCTAGGAGCTTTGCTGCGTGTACAGC